GATTAATGAACTATGTTGTAAAATCTAATAAATGAGAATTATTGAGGGGGGGGGGTGGAAAGCAAAGAGATAGCTCAGCTTCCGTTTCGCACGTGCCCTTAGACGGAAGCCGAGCAAAAGCATATTCCTCCTTCCGTGCTCTTCAGTAAGGAAAGGAAGAAAAATCAATTGCAGCAAGTTTATAAGGTATAAAGTTGAAAACGATAAAGACCGAGAGGTTTAAGAATGATAATTGATTGGATAACGTGAGTAGGACGTCGTAATTACGAAAAACTATCAGTTGATGTTACATTATAATATCCGAAAATACTACACGACACATGCAGGTAAAAAAAATCGTGTAGCTGCTCAACAAATAGACTACTCTTTTTAACAAAAAGGCACTGAGAGTACTCGACTAATCTGCTCTATGCTACCGCGATAATCATCATAATAGAGTATTTGTAACATATAAGTTTATTTCTATAAATACTCCTCACTATACTAGCTATAATGAAGTCCTCACTGTAACCACTGCTATAAAGCATTCTTACCATATCCGATATTCTTCCAATAAACGTATCAAAGCAAGTACAGGTGTTGGCTATCCTAAGGGTTTCTGTGTATATAACGGAAGCCTTGTTGTTAGTGGAGATATTTGAATCACTGTGTGGGAATCTAATCACTTTAAAGTTAAAGTCATCTGTCTTTATTGAGGGGTATAGAACCGGCAGTAGTAATGTTGGCGTTTACTATCAATTGATGGTGTAAGCTCAAATAATATAGCTGGTATTAGCTCAGTTGTGTGTGTCTTCTTCAACTGGAGGGTATTTCTATAGACCTCCGCAAGTTGTTCATCGACTTCATTTTCAGACTGGTTATGTATGACTAGGAGATCATCCATATATCTGTATGGAATGAGCAATTTACTAGCATTGAATCTATTGCACTTTGCATAATTGTATTCCATGATTGACAGCGTAAGGTCTGCCAACAGCGGGCTGAAGTTGCCTCCTTGTGGAACACCTTTAGTCTGATTGAATATGTTACCAGCAAAAATACAAAAACTGTTGCGCAATAAGTAATCGATAAGATATATTAAGTCGGTAGCTTTGTAGTATCTGTAGTTGCTTTTATTTGCTCTACCGTCTGAGTAAAAAACATGGTAACCATTACTAGCAATGAACGCCTTATTGGCATTTTTGAAGCAGATGCTCATAAGCTGTTGCATATTCCTGATAATGAGGCTATGTTCCAAGTTTGTAAACTATGTCAGTGAAATCGGCAGTATATATTTTAACATTGCCGTAGGCAATATTAGTCAGCTCCTGACTTATATTGATGTTGTCTATCGACCAGTAAGTCTTAATCGTTCTGTTTCGGTTTTGCATCACTTTTGCATAGTTTATGAAATGGTTTTTGAAATGTTTGAAAATAACATGTAGTTCTTTGGCTAGAGGTTTGATGCTACTGCTATGTGCGCCAGTAATATATCTGAACTTGATCGGATCCTTATGCAGTTTAGGCAGAGCATATATAGTTGGTAGATCTGAATCAACTTCTATATTGAGATTGTTCCTTACACAGAAGAACTTGTGCTTCAGTATCATCGGATATTGTGTTAACCGACGACCGTGCACCAAATTCATCGTGTTGGTTACTGGTCTCCAGTATGGCGAATGTGCTCATTGAGGCACCCCGTCATCAGCTTTATTCCCCATTTTCCTTCATTCAAGTTGACTAAGTAGAATTTTTTACATATAATCTCGTGTTGTTACTACTTGTGCGCACGAGGAGCAAAAAATATAGTTTTTGTCGCTGTAATCAATTGTTTGATAAGTCGTAAGGTACGTTCGCTCCTCCTATAGCTGATTGATATTATTCGCTAATGTGAGCAGCGGTTTGATTTACTATGGTAACACGAACGTAGATGCTGTTGAAGTAGGTTAACGTCGTGACTGTTAAGTTTATATTTGTACTTAAAATAATTGAGCGACTTTATTAGTTGTAGCTCATAAATCGTTGGACTTCCTTTCCGTTGTTATTCGTGTCTATCCCTATATTCGTTCCTTTCATCATAAGTTTCCTGAACTTTCTTTCTTTTATTAGATTCATATTGCCAGTAATAATGTGCCCATGCTTGCTGTCAATATATTTCTGCACATCTTCAGAATCACAGATACAGTCACTAGTGATTATCCGCTTCAATTTTTCGTTGTCGAGATTCTTTAATATTTTGTTTATAATTGCATAGTTTGCCGGCCGTGGACTGCGCGCGGTCCTGTCGTGGCCATTGTGTTATTATCAGCTTATAATTATTCTGATAGGTGTGAAGTTACAATCATTCCCATTAAGCAATAATTCTTTGACAGTGCGTGAATTAAAAATTCTGTTGAAGCGTATCTCGTTAAATATTCTGCTTCTGAAGCTGACTTCAATGTTATGAAAATTCTTTCTGGGTTTTTCTTCGATGACTGAACCATGGTGAAAGTAAGCTAACAAGCAAAATATCAAATATTTTGTTTTGTTGTTTACGGTCTGTAGAAAATTCACAGACATCGAGAGTTTAATGATCTTGTTAATTTCTTCCTTACGAAGGCTTTTAAGTAGTCTGAAGTATTGTATAGGCTTCAGTGTTTCTGTACTGTTGGTGATTTCTTCTATGACGCTATTATATGTAATTCCTTTCTTGCATCTGTTGGTTCTCTTTCCTCTATTAATTCTTTGCTTCGTAATCTTAAGCGAAAAGAACGGATGATTGCCTTTGTACAGGAGAGGGTTGTCCACATTTGTGATATTTCCATAACCTTTAATGTTATCATTCAACCCAAAGATATGGTGTCATGAGCAGTTTTATCCAAAACATTTCTTTCTCGAGAAGGGTGGTTTTATCATTATCCTTCTGAGAGTCCAGCACTTGTACAGAAAAACCCTTGTTACATTTTTTAAAATGATTGTACAAGGGCGTATGTATCTTTTGCGTGTATGTGTTGGTAACATTTCTCCGATTCTTGTCTTATCAATTATCCTTATAGTCGCATACGCAACATGACTGTATTCCACGCATCTCATTGCATGTTAAATGCATATTTTACTTCTGTTGTCTTGCAATTTGTATCTATGTCTTTATAAGTTTTGATGTGTAAGCCTGTAACATGTGACACTATGACGTTATCCGTTTCTGTGAAACTACAGGTTCGACAATTTTTGTTGCATTTGCAACCCTTGTTATCATTACCAAATCCATTGAGTAGGTAGTGATCAGCCCCATCCCTTACCTTGTGGAACCTGGAGTGGACGAAGTAATTTTGTGCGCTAATTTGAGCATTTTTTGACCTAGATCTAAGCGCATGAGCGGTCAAACCCAATACGCAGAG